AGGCCTACATATATGATTCTCTGTGTGCTAAGGTAAGGATTTCAGTTAGATTTTAAGTGTAAGAAGACATTTCTCCAGAGTCCTTGCAATTTTCGCTGCCAGTCAACTGATCCAATTACTTTATTTCCAGAATCCATTTATATGTGTCACCCTTAACCTTATTTTACAGAAAGATAGATAATCGTGGTTATGTTTGGTCAGGGTAAATTTTGGTGAATATTCTGATTGCATGCATTTGATGTGTATAATCTTTCTTCTTAAGTCGGCAAACATATTCCAAACGTAAAAGCATAATTAATTTCATATCAAATGAATGACGTTTATTATAAATTCCCTGAGCAGTTTGATGAAAAAAGATGAAAAAAAAAAGATTAATACCTTTAATATGATCGTGAACAAATAGTTTCAATGCGAATAAAATATACATGCATATGCCCTACTGGCATTTTTAGCAACTTACAATTTTAACAATATATTTAAATGCTAGTAAAAATAACTGTTGCTTCAAAAACTTTCCAGACACGATTTATTGTTTCGGTTTCGATAAATCCTATCCTGCTTCCCAAACTACATGCATCTATCAACGAAATGACGGATGGTGTAAAATCTAGATTTCTTTGAACAAATCCAGGCTGATTCAGTGGCTTCTATTAAAATATAATAAAATCAGCCGCAGAATCCGATAATTTCCATTTTTTCTGCTTTGGGACATGTGACATTTATAGTAATTGTTGAAACATGTATTATTCATTAAACAGCATTGGGTAAAAAATTTTATCGTTTCCTAATATACTGATAATGTTTTAATTTTTTAAAAATTTGTTAAATAATTCGCGTATTTTTTTTTTCCAAAGTGGATTCAGATATACAGAGAGGGGGAGGTATTTCCTCTTGCAAATGTTACCGAGAAAAAGAAATAAATAAATCGAGGAATTTTCGTTACTTGTGATTTTAATATTAAATATAAATGGTTTTCTGTTGTATATGACTTGAGGTTTTCTCCCAAAATGAATTTAATTTTTTCATATATATTACCTATTAACAATTCCCTTCAAATCAAGACTAGAAAAGATTTCTGAAAACATTGAAATTAAATGTCATTTTATTTTATATGTTTATATGTATATCACATTATTAGACCTTCCCATGTACATTCATTTTTAATTTTCAAATTTACTGGGTGAAAGTAAATTTGTAATTGCAAAATTTTACATGTTAATTACGTATCATTTATGTATTTGTTAATAATAATACCTTATTTTTTGTTCATTTTATTTATTTATTCAAATGCAAAAAAAAAATTAGAATTTCAAGTTAATAAATTCTTTTCTAATTTTTTCTTTACTTACCAAACCAGAAAAATACAAAAATCCTGAAAATAATTGAGTTGCTCCTTAAGTCTATCATTTTATCGTCGTCATAATGTCTTGAAATTTTTCTTCTGTACTGGCGCTCAGAAACCCACACGACAGCCCTACCTCAAAACATAGGAAATGTGCTTACATTATGCATTGATCACTCAAATTGTCGTAATTGAGCCGTTTTCCGATTTGTCTTTGAAGTTTCCTGGCCCGTTCGTGACAGTGCAACACTTTATACTACGTTTCTTCTCCTTGTCACCTTAATTTCATTGCTGCTGTAGAAATTGGTAATTGTTAATTAATCGTGCGCTATATAACGAAAAGATACGATGAAAACGAGAACGAGAATTTATATTATAAATAAATTATGTTGTTCTTGGTCTTCTTTAAATGGGCTGCCGCGACTGGTCGTTCAGAAGTTCTAGAAACGATTTCAGGTTGCGTCATTAATTGTTTTATCAATTCATCTTGTGCTTAGTTTTCTCGAGAATTAGCAAAGCCTCTCTCTTTCTTTTCCTCGCTCTTGATTTACTTTTTTATGACCCTCGAGTTCTTTTACAGAAAATATTCTTTTGTTGTACAAGATGAAAAAAATATTGTAAATACACATTGAGGGGGTAAAAGATGCAATCTTCATACCCTAGCGGCCATTCTATCGGATAATTTTTCCCTATTTAAACCCCGTCTCTCTGCAGGGATTTTTCTAATATTGATCATACACAAATTTTTATAATACCTGACACACATAGATGTCCTCTCAACACGCACAATTAGCATGTAACAGTGTCTTTTTAAATTCTTCTCAGTCAATTTGCTACTATTTCAAAAGTTTTACAAAAAATCGAGAAAAAAACGGAAAAAATGCAAAATATATCAGTTAGAAAATAATATACGGGTATTGTATTATAATTCGTAGATCTCCAAATGGTCAACCCAACTACATCTTTTTTTTTAAATACCGTAATATATTTGCGATACTTGAAAAGGGACGTGTGATTTTTCCAAAAATCGTCTCTTTTTTTTCTCCCCCCCCCCCCCTTATTTTTTGTTTGTCGCTGTATGTTGTGTATGGCTAAAATATATTGCTACAGTAAAATAACATGATGATTTATTTTGAGATAGAAATTAAAAACATGAACTACATAGAAAAAAAATGTATACACCTTTTTGAACATCAAGTAGAGGACCAACTTGAAGAACCAAAATCATTTTTTTTTCTAAAGGGGAGGGGGGTTGAGATTCAACCAAAAAGATATCAAAAGAAGCAAAATCAAACTACGCCTAAGTGTTGGTTGGGGTAGGTTGAGAAGAAAAATAATAAAAATATCGAATGCATCCATGCATTATTGCTATCAGAAACTTATCCCTCGAGCATGCATTCATTCATCACAAGAGATTCGGTGAAATTAATAGCTTAGATTTGATGAATTCAATTTAAAATGCATACGTATGAAATGTTATGCAGTTGAAAAATATGTAAAATAAATATTTTATCATCCGATCATAAATTAAATAACATTTAATTTTCACCATAAAAATATTTGGAAATGTTTTAGTTTTAATTCCGATTCGGCAGAAGATGGCAGGCATATATGTCTTTCTAGGTTTTATGCAACTTTCGGGGGGGGGGGGTTAAATTAAATCAAAAGTAGAAGTGGTGAACTTAAGGATATTCCAATCTTGTGTAACAATTATCAATTCTACTTTGTTGCTTTGATTTATTTGAAAAAATTAACTGCAAGGATTCTGTGTGGATATCAGAGGATCATGAAATACCCGACTATAAATTCAGTTTAATGCTTTTTTCCCATATCATTTCTAAAAATATCACCTTTGATGACAATCAAACACTTTTTTTAATCTTATTCAATGTGACCAGTAATATAAAAAAAAACCGGGTCTTTTTTCTATTTAATTTATATGCGGTTGCTATGAAAAATAGACATTCCCGATGCCGTTGCCTTTTCGGCAAATAGTCACGCCATACTTAGCACCGGAAATAAAGTTCGCGCAAGACAATTGATTGAACAATCAGAAATGCCCGGATATTGCATTCGAAGCTGTGTTGTTGGCCATCGTGTTGAGAGAGGTAACGTATTGTTTTGTCTTATTTAGTACAGTTATGCCTTTGTAAATTGACTGAAAATATCTTGGTTTATAGTAGTTTCTGTAAATGACCCCAAAACATGTCACTCATAGTCTGTTCTCAGCTGTTTGACCCGTGTGATTAGAGACCTCCGGTTGCATTCCCAATCGCCATGTGATTTTACGTACTTCTGTAGAGAATAACAGGGTAGTTTGTGTGGTTCCCAAATTTTTAAGCTTTTTGTTTTATTTTTTCTGCCAAAGTATGCCATAACATCAACGACATTTAATGAAACATACTCTCTTTTAAGATTGTAAACATTTCATCTCCGTTAGAATTTCCGTAGCATGCACTGAAGCTTGTTCTTGTATAGTGCACATTAGAGCAGAGATTTAAATGCTTAAAATCAGCTTCATTTTTTAGAATTTAGTGATAAGGTTTAGTGTACGGTGTAACTTAAATCTCTTTCATCCACAGAAAATTAATGCTATGCCTGCAAATTCCGCTGACAACGTTTTTCATATTGAGGAGACTTTAAAGTCTTCCCTCAATTTTAAGGGAACAATTGATAGCCAAATTGCCTCTTCCTCAAAGAAGATTTTATTGTCCCATATAGGCTTCCAGCCTGCTGGACAACCATACAGTATACAGCAAGAGAATTTGAGAGCGAAGTACGTTCCATTGAACTCCTTGAAAAAAGTTGGATCTGATCATGAACTTCACTTTGGTATGTAGTCTTCTGTGGTGAATAGAGTATATAAGATATTATATTATGCTGGCTTTAGAGACATTGTTGTCGTGATTATTTAACTATTGAACATGTTGAACAAGTTTGTGGTTTTTGAACATAATTATTATATATTCCATTTTCAAAAGGAATTTTGTTACTAACTCTAAAATGTGAAGAGACTTGATACTGAGTAGATTTTTTTCTATACTGCAGAGGCAAACATGAACACAAATGGAAATAGTGTAACTGAGAGTAGTAGTGGTGAAAGTTTGCCTAGTCCGAAGATTGTGTTGTATCCTGAGGATAAGATTAAACTACAATGGAGAAAGGTGCACAAGATCGGCTCAGGACTGATCAACATGGGAAATACCTGTTTTCTGAATTCCACCCTTCAGTGTCTAACTTACACTGCACCTCTAGTCAATTACTGCTTGAGTGGGGAGCACAGCCAATCATGTAAGTGAATCTGATATTATACAAGTACTGAAAGCCAAATATTCAAGCATGGTCAATGGCAAAGTTTGATTTAATAGAAGAAATATTATGTTGGTTAATAGAAAGATAGCTAATTTTGTATTGAAGAGCAAAATACAAACATGGTGTATGATGCATCTCAATTTCCCAAAATGACAAAACGATTTATAGAATATTAAGCATTCTTCTTGTAAGGGAATAATATATATTCATTCTACTAACAGGCAAACAGCCAGGGTTTTGCATGATGTGTGAACTTCAGCGTCACATTAGAAGATGCTATGAGAATTCTGGATCAAATATAAAACCTCAGGCAATCCTACAGAAGTTGAAATGTAAGTTTCTTACACATCAAAAATACAAGCAAAGTTTCAATTGTAGGGGTTTTCCACTTAATCGAAAAATTAATATTTTGACCATAAAAATTGCAGTGATAGCAAAGCACATGCACTGGGGTAGGCAGGAAGATGCTCATGAATTCCTGAGATATGTGGTAGATTCTATGCAGAGGTCCACTCTAAATGGTTACACAAAGTAAGTAAGAATATTCACTTGATATAGCAGTTAGGCCTTTGCTAATTGCTAATATCTGACAAATGATGAGGGCATTTGATAGGAAATCAGTACAACACAATGTAAATGTTTATGGTTAATTCATTGTCTTTCCAGGCTGGACAAATTCAGCAAAGAGACAACAGTGGTTAACCAAATCTTTGGAGGATATCTCAGAAGTCAAGGTGAGTTATGTCATTGAAAAGAAAAAAGTGTATTCTGCAACAAGTAAAACAATCATCAAAACAAGTCGATTACCAAACCTCTGTTTCACATGTTTATAGATTTGTTTGAATTGTAATGACATGTTTGTGTTTTTCTTCCTTTTCAGTTCAATGTCTGCGATGCAAAGAAAAATCAAACACATATGACCCATTTATGGACCTTAGTCTAGACATAAAGGTACTTTTATCCTCATAACTTTTCCAGCAAAGTAATTCTGATTTTGCAGTTGTCTATAGGTACCAAAATGAATTTATTTTCACAAATAACTGTGTGTATTTACAGACAGTGCCAAGTCTTGAAAAGGCATTTGAAAAGTATGTACAGCCAGAAAAGCTGGATTGTGACAATGCATACATGTGCAATAGGTAAAGTATATACAAAGGGAAAGTAGAGTGACAGTAAATTTGAAAGCACTTTGAGAAAGATGGACGGGTATTGATATGGTATTGTTTAATTTTTTTTCAGATGTAAACAAAAAGTTCCTGCATTGAAAAGATTTTCAATTCACAAAGCTCCAAACGTTTTAACCATCTCTCTGAAAAGGTAGGATTTTATTCTTTTGTATGAAGATAGAAAGGAAAAATTACAACCAAAAAATTGCTTTCCGATTTATAATGACTTGATCTGCTATAGTTCAGTACCTTCAATTGATGAATGTAAATATTTTTTGCGGGATATTTTAAAGTTAATTAGAAGCCAAAGCAAAAATTTTATAACTCTTTTATTTATTTGTCTTGTATTATATACATGTATTTTCATAACTTTTATACATTGTCTCTGACATTTTTTCCATGACCTGTATAGTGTCTACAGCATTTGTTTTGATGTTACTTTTTTGGAAATAGATTTTTGAATTGTAAAGATAAGGGATATGGGTAGCTTTGTTTATATTGTACTGACAGTAGCTTAGATTTCATCTTGTCAAGTTTATCAGTAGAAGTTAAATGTTAACTGAGACCTGAAGAGAAGAAACACATTGTAAATAAAACTTGCTTGGTCAGGACTCTGTGCACCTAAGACCTGATCAGTTTTTGAGGAAAGTCAAAGGAGTTATGAGCTATCAATTTTGAAATATTGACTGAAATGATGCCCTGACAATGCACAGCCAGATGCAAACAAGTTTTAATTTCTAATTTTTAGTGTACGTGTATATCATTAGATATGTTAGACTTGAAATTGTTGTATTTTTGATGTCCTTTAGCTTTAAGTAGTAGTTTATGAAATGACCTTTTTGTAAAATATTCAATGTAATAAGTGTAGAAAACTATATAGTATGTGGGAGGAAAGGTGTGGGGTTTTTCTCCATTGTATTAAGTTGTATGATGTAACTTGGAGGAGATAAGGAAGTGATATTTTGTGATTGTAATCATTGTATACATTTTTCTGATGTACCGGGTAATTCTAATAATCAAAAGAAGATGGGGAGAAGAACCAGTATGTTAGTGATTTTCCAAGTATAGATTTTTTTGAAAACAGAGGCCCAGTGTTAATTTCTGTTTTGAAAAAATAGCTTTATACATTGTATTTTTCTGTCTTGTTGTATAAGAAATGTGTGTGTGAGTGTGAGGCATATGAGTGTGAGGAGCATATGTACATGTACCTTGTTTTGTTTTCCTCTAGAAACACAGAGATGAGTGAATTCGACTGTGGCTATGGATTGCGACAAACAAGACGCAGTACAACTGCAACGTAATTTTATATAGATCACTGGTGCATTTGAACAATGAAAAGACAAATGATTCAATAAACGTATATAGTGGTGAACTTATACAGGGGAAAGCAGTATACGTTTGTCTTCACCTTGTTCAGATGCTATCAGTTATCTATCATCAAATGTTTTAAGAAATTTATCGATAAATATACATGTTTAGTTAAGTAATTGTATAATGAGCATATTAAATGGCTTATTCTTTGTAAATGCTTTAGATTTTTGTATTAAGTTAATTAAGTTGCTGATGTAATTTAGAGGTAGTTATTTATATAATTTTATATAACCTTACTTAAGACTCATATCATCATGTATTATTTAGAGTTAAGTTTAACATTTCTTAGTTTATAAGTTAGTTAAGTAATTATATATTAGTTTTAAATGTTAAAATAACTGTATTTAGAATAGAAAAACACAAGTATTCTAAAACATGCTGAAAGGGATAACCTTAACGAATATGTTTCTTTGGTCATTTTAGATTTGACTACAGTAAAATGGTACAGGGAAAAATTGGCAGACATGTGCACTTTCCAGAAAAGCTGAATTTGAGGCCTTATATGAGTGCAAAACAGGTACGGTATTCAGTTATTAAAATATTTTCAGTTTAATTACTAAAGTTTTGTAAGAGAATTGTTCTTGAAATGTATGTATCAAACCCTGAATTATTCTTTAAAAAGCTCATTAATTTAGTAATTGTTAATTAGTAATCAGGGAATCTTTCTCGCCTTAAATCGACAATATAGAAATAATGTAGGTGTGTTATTAGACTTATCTGGAGAAACATTTGTGTTTGTTTTGCAGGGTGATGCGATACTGCTCAATTTGAACGCTGTCCTTGTACATTCTGGGTACACGGCAAACTCAGGACATTACTACTGCTACGTCAAGTCCTCCAATGGGGTCTGGTACTGCATGAATGATGCCAATGTGAGTACAGAAAACAGATAAAACTTTATAACTTTATGTATCTTAATGTAAGATAAAAAGATAAAAAGAAGGTTAAAATCAATAGATAAGTCAAGAGATGTTTTTCAAAAGCTAAAGTAAAGATGGATGGTACAACGTTCAAAAGAAAAATGTTTACTTGAGGACAAAAAGGAATTTGAATTATTTCTTAATTTTCAGGTACAGCAAGTCAGTGCTAGTCGAGTTTTAGGTGCTGAAGCTTATGTCCTCTTTTACACCAAAGTTCGTAGTGAATACAGTACATCTAAGGTAAGATCTAAGCTGTCTGAATTCAGTTTAGAATACTAATTTATTCAGTTCAAATGTGGAATGTGTGCATTCTAAACATACATTTTCACAACGTAAATGAAGATATTTTGTCTCTTTTGATAATGAATTATTTAACTTGTAGCCCACCCACACCATCACAATGGCAAACCAAGCAAACCATGTAGACAACAAAAACAAGTTCAAACCTCTGAATGGATTAACAAGTGAGTTATAACAAATAATTTGATGCTAATTTTTCAATTAATGTATCAAGAAGAAAAGATTATTTGTAACTGATCTCGAAAAGAACTAGAAGTAAAATTTAATTCTTTTGTTGCAGAGTACACTAGCACAGACACTGGTGTTACCATTGCCAGAAGTACTTCCGTGCCCTCTGTTTCTGGACCTACCCCTTCCAAGACGGAGCCTAAATCCTTATCAGCAGCCTCACTATTGCCAGAGAAAAGGGACAAGATTGCGTTTGGTCTGACCAAAACACCCAGTCTGAATCCAGAGGAACCTAAGGACAAAAGAATCATTGTGAAAATTACACATGGACAAGTGTCAGCCTGGGAAGAGTCTCGGAACGGCAAATCCAAAATTGCTAATGGAGACAAAGTGAGTTCAAGACTCGTGCCATATGGTGATGACTCCGAGTCTGATGACGACTCGGCTGCCGTGAACAGAGGGAAGAAGTCCCCTCGTGTCAACGGAAAAAATCATGTGCAAGACCACGTAGTGTTCGATGAAAAACTAAATGCCACCACATCTGTGCCAGGAAATACTCATCTGCTGGAAACCACATTAAAGCAGAAGGGGGAAATCCATGAAGCTGCCAACAGGAGGATTGATGAACTGAATCTGATGGTGAATAAGGCCAAGGAGCACAAGGCTTCAAAGACCTACAGTGATGACAATGGAATTCAGTGCGTTAGTGACAGCAGTGGAGGAAAAGTGAAGGCTACCTCCAACTGGCATGTGCTGAGCCAAGACTGTGATCCTAGTCCCTCAGTGGTCTCAAACTCCAGCCGGGAAAGTGTTAACTCTACATCTGGCTGGGACATCAAAGAGAAATCCGAGGCTCCCAACTTTGACAAGGTGCCCGACAGACAACACCCAGGGTGGAAGATCTCCAAGGAAAGTGAACCCAAACAGGAGGCTTCTGATAGTTCCTTGTCAGCACAAGTGAAAAAACTCTTTGCAGCAAAGAAGGAGGACAGTCACAGCAACCATGACTCTGTCGTTAACCAGTGGAAAGACAATTCAAATTCTTTCTTCCAAAGCAAGAGCGTAGCCATGTCTGAGAATCAACCACTGTTGGCAGACGTTGACATGGAGGAGAGAGTGTCCACCAAAAAACGCAAGAAGCATAAGAAGCACAAAAAGGAGCACAAGGATGTCAAGTATGAGCAGCTCGTCAACGAGAGCACCTCTAGTCTGGAAGGTCACAGCAAAAAGCACAAGAAAAAGAAGCACAAGCACAAGAAAGAGCACAAGCACTCCAAGCACTCAGACGACTCCGAGGAGGAAAGGCGCAGCAAAAAACACAAGAGATCTCATGATGATGCTGATGAGGATTCTGGGAAGGAAAAGAAAAAGCGCTTGGATGAGGATTCCTATGTGTGGGTGGAGAAAACAAAGGATACCATCAGGCAGACCAAATCAGACAGCAGTGGTAAGAGTCATATATTTATTCATATGTATATGTATAATTCAAATTTATTGAAATTTTTACATATATTCTTTCATTTTACTGACTAGGATTGAGTTTAAGATTTTATAATGTGTTGTTTTTATTAATACAGTTCTGGTGCAGTCCTGGGATCACCATGTCAAGGATGGTTTCAAAAAGTCCAAGAGCACTTTTGGCGATAGCAAATCTTACAGCACATGGGATGGTAGCCGGTCATCCAAGGTGGCAGAGGAACTAGAGAGACAGTCCTCAGCTGTAGGCTATGGATCCTCAGGTACACAAACTTAACAGTGGTTATATTGATACCGCAGTAGGTAACAGACGCTGCTTTGTATTTTGGTGAAAGCTACTGTCTATTCAGATTTTCCTTTTTCCAAAAGTAGGTCTGAAATTTCTGAATGTTCAGCAACATTTTAAATTTTTTCTAGTGAACTCATGGGAAGGTGGCAAGAGTACTCTGGATGCTGAGGTTGAGAGCGAGAAAAAAGATCGCAAGCGGCACTGGTCAGATGATTATGACGAGGAGTTGGATCAAGGCAAAACCAAGAAAATCAAGAAAAACCATTCTGACTACAACGTCCACTCAGGATACAATCCCTTCCAGAAATACCAAGACCACCGCAACTATGACAGCAATAAAGTAAGTCATCATGATATTAACTGCAAAGATAATGGCCCAGAATTAAGCTTTGTTACCGATATCAGTCCCATATATTTTTATTTCTCTTAAATGTAAACAATAGGTATCCTTGACATTTAAAATTTAAATTAGCAAGGGAGGTACTCTTTTAAATCTTTGTGATAGAATTTTACTTATGAAATTTGAATTGTTATTTCAGTTCAAGGGTGGATTGAATGGCTCTCACTCCTTTGGTGGACACAATGGCAATACTCATCACCAGGGCTATCGTAATGATGATCATCGCTACCACCAACACTTCAGCTATTCTTCCAAGCATGCATACAAGGCCTGAGTTCATTGGATGTGTAGAAGAAGCCGGGGAAAGAATTGTGCTTTATACTAGAGCTGTGTTTTCTTGCTCATACCAGGAAACATTTTATATTGCTGCTGAGCAGCAAATCTTGAGGGAAATCGGATGACTCGTTATTGAAGGATAACGACGATAAACTTTTCTCTCTACCTCTCCTTTTTTTAATGTAAAGATTTTAAGCTGGTTAACTTATTTCATTTGTTAAATTAATTAAAAGAGAATTTACCTGATTTAGTTTGTGGGCTTTCATTTTTTAGAGAAGTTAAAGAGTGAGAGCTTGAAGTGGAGATTTTATTATGAGAAGTATATGTGAATGATATTTTACTGTGATTGACAGAGAAAGTTCAAATATCTTGTAAAATGTGTGCGTAATTAGTAATCTGATGTGAACATTTTTTAATTCTATTTTTAAAGAAGATATTTGCAAAAGGTGTGCTGAAGGTGAAAATTTATGGACTTAAATTCAATACTCCAAATGAGATAAACAGGAATAAAATGTTTAAAAAAAAAAAAAATCCTTTTGATTAAAGGTGATTAAAAAAACATGTATATCGAACTATCAGTCCTTCAAAAGAATGTGATGAGAGTGTTGTAGAAGTTGGTTGATATTAAGTGCTTTGTAATCATGAAAATGATGCTATTGATGAGGTTAATAGTAACTCTCCTTATGTCATATTTTGTGTTCTTATAAGTTTCAATACACTTATTGTTGGGAGGGTCAAAACTTGTCTAAGTTACTTTTTTTTTTTTTAAATCAGGTTGATCATTTTGTAAAATCATTTTTTCATCATGATTATGAGTATATTTGATGAGTAAATGTGTATAGTATTTATATTAGAACATTACTCTGGGAAAACATTGCTTTCTTGTTTGAATGTGTGACAGGTTCCAAAAATACCAGTGATACATATTATTGTACTTGTACTTACATTCAAACCTACATTTTGTGAACTCATTCATTCAGATCAAGTGAAAAGGAAATCATGAAATATTTGTTGCATATCAGAGGACAAAAAACCCAGTTTCTATATGTTAATTAAATGTGTAGTAATTTATATCACACATGAATTTTTCAGGGAAATGTGCAATTGTAAAATGAAAGCATGTAGCAGAGTAGAACTTAATTGCTTTGTATTGTATCACTAAGGCTTTAAAATAATAGTGCAGTGTTTATACTGATCTAATATGGAGGTACTTACCCATATTAAATTTTGGAGTTTTATAATATTTCAAGTAAGATACATTTTTCTAGTCTGCTGTATTTTAGGACAAGGAAAATGATTTTTCTTGCTCTTGTTTGTCTAGAATATGTTACTTTCATTTTGTAAGGTTTTTGCTCTCCTGAAACCTAGATACACAGATAAGTGAAAGTGTGTTCTATTTTGAAAAGTAGAGGAAGCTTTGTTAAAATGCCAGAAATAGTTTTTCCTCCTTTGATTGGTTGTTTTTGAAAAAAGTTTTTTTCATTTTTTACTCATTGCATAAACCAATATCTCAGGCAAAAATTACGGATTTAAAAAAAAATATCTTTGTCCATAGGAAGGTGCTACCATACATTTTTCTAAATGCTGAAAGGAGAGAATTTCTGACTTGGATGGTAGAAATGTTGTTCTTATAATTTGTGCCATTTTTATTTTGTTCTCATTGCATGATAGAAAATTATTTATTTCTTTTTTTGTCGGGAAGAACGAATTTCATAAACGATATAAAAGTAAATATCGATTGCTTTTTTTTTTTTTATGAAAGACTTCATGCATTTTAATATTCTTAATTGATACTTATGAATTGCCGTTATCAATCATTTATCCAGTATGCTTGTTTTTGAAAAGAGTTTTCTTTTATATGAAGTATTTGGATGACGATTTTGATGAATCAGGTGAAAATTGTAAATGGATAAAATTTAATGAGTAAATATTTTGATTATGCACCAGATAAAATGGTGTAAAGATAAATATATATATTAAGTTGTAATGTTTTTGTGAGACATCATGTTTATTTATACATTGTATGCAAGATGGAATACAATTAAATTGTTACAATTATGAATATTACTTTCATCTTCTTATAAGTCTGTAAGTGTAGGCAATACTCACCGTAAAGTATGAATGATGAGAAATGGTCAGATAACACATACCTAAAACATTTTACACATTTTCTTTTATTATGGAAAAAGGCAAATCCAAAAAGGCCTTGATCAATTTTATTGTTTCAAAATGCTTTCTTTTCTTATTTTTGGAAAGGGCAATACAAAGCATGAAAATTCTTTTGTCTTTATCATAAAGAACTTCTTGAAAAAAATGACCCAGGAAACTTAGTTGTTGAGAAGAATAGTCATTATTGAAAGGAGGTGTGCATTTAACACATATTTTGTCTGGGAAATTCATTAGGACGAATAAATTCTATGTCATTTGGAAAGCTATAATATTGCCTGAGTGTAAATTGGACTAAATTTAGCTGAATTAACTACTTTAAAATGGAATAGAATGACAGTATACCAAATGCAGACTATTTTGGCAAGCAAAGATTCAAGCTTATTGGAGTCTCTTTGTCCAGTATGTAATGCCCAAATATCTTGAAGTTTGGAGGTAGAATTTATTCCCAAGTTCTAACTATACTCTGAGTGTAACTGAGAAGCTTGAAAATTGGTGATGAATATCAATATATAACCACTAAAAAACTGAAAACTGAACCATTTAATAAGTTTCTCTCTCTGTGTGAGTGCTTAGACCAAACTTATTTTAGGGACCCAGTTTGAATGAGAAAACATCATTATGAAATGGATGAAGTAATCAAACAGCAATGTATCTACAAAAAAAAAGAAATAAAATCTTTAAAAAATTATTTGGTTACCCTCTCCCGACAGACTGGCTAAAAATGGCTCGACTCAAAAGCGTTTTAAACCTGCAAGAAGCAATTAATTTTTTATGTAGTGTGGAAAATAGATTTAAAAAAAAAATTGAAATTTTATATGAGAAAAAAAATTCTCATCACATATTGACCCAATATTTTCAGAGTGAATCAAAAGAGAGCGACCAAACAATTTTTTAAAGATGGTCCAATAGAAATCTGTGAACACGACATGACAACACAGACCCCTGGAAACCCCAGAGGCAGGATCAAGTCCCAAGAATGAACAAGCAACCCCTGTCGTCCACCGTCAAACTCATCATGATGTTGATCAGAAAGATTGACTAATCCGTATTCAAAAGAGCAACGACTTAACATGTCAATTAATTATATGACCCATTAGTGTGTATTTGCCAGCGAGGGCATCATGAGGAATAGAATTTGACAAAATCCCTGTAACATCAACTTAATTGTCAGGAGTTTGAGTCACTTTATAAAAATGTTCATACTTCGAGGCAAGTTAGAGCATTCTCTTGAGTGTGGGAGACATAAAACCTTATACAGGCAAAGAGGCAACATATGAACTGAAGTAAACATTTTCAAATTAATGAAACATTGGCAATATACAATACATGTTTCTGAACAAGCTGAAGGCCACATTTTCTTGTGTAACCTTTTTTTTTTATATAAATTCTGCTCATAGAATTTAAAAACAAAAGGCTAATGTGCCACAACACTCACCTAAGTAACTTTAACCATGCTGTTCTTCACAAGATTCCCCCATTGTAATACTATTGTAACCCCATCCTATGCCCGGTAGTCATGATTTGGACAATATAGAATGTACACTAGCCCAGGATGCTTCAACATATAAGTTTCAGCTTTTCTGACCCAATGATTTTTGAAAGGACAATTTTTAAAAGATTTTCCCATATATTTCAATGTTTTACTTGGATTCTCTATTGTCCTAACCCAAGGGCCATGAATTGAACAATTTAGAATCTATACTACCAAGAAGAACTTGAAAATGTAAAAAGTTTACAGACAGACGGACGGACAAGAGGTGATCACAAAACTTCACTTGAACTTTCAGCACAGGTTAGATAAAAACAGGTTTTGAAGACCCAGTTTTCAAAGATGAATTCTTTTTATGAAGAACTCTTAACATCCTTCTGATATATCAATCTCTTGAGTGAATTTTCATTATGTCCCCGTAATTGAAGATTCTGGGGTATATATTTTTTGGCCTGTCTATCTAGCTGTCTGTTTGTCCGCAAAAACTTTAACCTTGGTCATAATTTTTGAATGTGCAGGACTATACCTTTCATATTTTACAGGTATATTTTCTTGTGACAAGACCTTTCTTTGGGTACCACCAAGTCTGACCACTTGACCTTGGAGTTTGACCCACTTTTACAAAACTTAACTTTAACTTTGGTCATATTTTTGAACAGTTAAACTTCGGCATTTATATTTCAGAACTATCAAGATATATATTTTAAGATATGCTTAATTGTTTAGAGCAATATACAGCAAAGTTGAAACCTAAAGTTAACGTGGATAAAACTAAAATTGTTGTATTTATAAAAGGTGGCAGGCTGAAGAAAAATTACGGTTGGTAGTATGACAACAAATTCATTGATATTGTTGAAAATTTCAATTACTTGGGGATAACTTTGAATTATAAGGGTAAATTTAACAAAACATTAAGTGTATTAGCAGGACAATTTAGAAAGAGTTTAAGTAGTTTATTAACTAAAATGAACCCATGTATTTGAATGTAAGCACTTAACTGTCATGATCATTGTTTGATAGTTGATGCATATATTGGTAGTATAACAAATTATGGTTGCGAAGTTTGGGGGTTTCACCCAGCAGGAGAATTGGAAATTATCCACTCAGATCTTTGTAAAAGTACTAAGTGTTAAAAAGGCACTGCCTCTATGATGGTTTATTTTGAACTAGGACAGAAACCATTACAAAACCATTACAATGGAACAGAAAATTTAGAATGCTGAAGTATTGGATCAAATTAAAACAAAGCAATTTATTCGAAGAATTGTGGTCCCCCGCTTTCAGTGTCTTTGTGGATGAGATGTCATTTTTTATGACACTTTGTGTCTAATATGAACACCCTATCATATGTCATTTATTTAGAAATTATCACTGAAGTTGATTTTTTTTTTTTTTAAATAAGGTCAATTGTGAAGGTCAAGGTCAAGGGGTAAGAATTCATAGCATGCTCGGAAATATCTTGTCACACGTAATGCACATGTCAAATATGAAAGTCCTATCTCTTCTCAATATAAGGAACAAGATGTGTCAAATTGTGAAACACAGATGACCTCGTATGGCAACATAACAAAGATTTAACATTTCTTAATTCAAATGAAATATATTTGATATTACCCAAAGTAAGGTTTTCAGACAAGAAATACGATTGTGAAATACAAAATCCCACCCCCCTGTTCAAAAGAAAGTTATGGCCAAGGATACATTTTTGAAAGGTAGGTCAAACTCCAAGGTGAAAGGATCTGAGTTGTTGATTTCTTTAAAAAGGTCACAAGTAATACATATGTGAAGGATGAAAACCCTAACCTTAACCGTTCAATAGTTATGGCCAAGGTGAAAGTTTTGGAAAAGTAAGTCAATCTCCAAGGTCAAGGTCAAAGGGTCAAAGTTCTTGGTATCCAATGAAAGGTCTTCTCATAAGAATTACATATGTGAAGTACGAAAGCCTTAGCCCTTACTGTTCAAATGTTATGGTCAAAGTTAAAATTTTTTTTTCAAAAGTACGGAAATCTCCAAGGTCAAAGTCAAAATGTCAGAATGGTTGGTATCCAATGAAAGGCCTTGCCACAAAAAATACATATGTGAAATATGTAAGTCCTAATTTCTACCATTCAAAAGATATGGTCAAGGTTAAAGATTTTTCATAAGTACTGAAATCTCCAAGGTCAAAAGGTCAAAGTTGTTGGTATCCAATGAAAGGTCTTGCGACAAAAAATACATATGTGCAAAAATATGAAGTCCTACATGTAGTATCTACCGTTCAAAGTTGTGGCCATGGTCAAAGTTTTTGAAAATTAGGTCAATCTCCATGGTCAAGGTCAAAGGGTCAAAGTTCTTGGTATCCAATGAAAGGTCTTTTCACAAGGATTACATATGTGAAGTACGATAGCCCTAGCCCTTTCCGTTCAAAAGTTATGGTCAAGGTAAAAGTTTTTTCATAGGTCTCTAAGGTCAAGGTTAAAAGGTCAAAATTGTTGGTATCCAATGAAAGGCCTTGACACAAAAAATGCATATGTGAAATATGAAATTCCTAGTTTCTACTATTCAAAAGATATGGCCAAAGTAAAAGTTTGGATTTTTTGTGTAAAAGTGGGTCAAACTCCAAGGTCTAGGTCAAAAGGTCAAATATGGTGGTACCCAAAGAAAGGAAAAAGTGTTGCATACAAAGATAAAACTAAATTAGATAAGCAAGAAGCCCATCGGCCACATCACTCACCTGAGTAACTTTGGCCATTATGTTATTAAACAGATTTCCCCCTAATACCTACCTTGACCTTTCCCAATCCCCAGGGGTCATGATCCAAGCAATTTAGAATCTACACTAGTAACACTACCCCAGGATGCTTCCACAGAAGTTTAGCTTTTCTGGCCCGGTGGTTCTTGAGAAGATTTTTTTATGACCCCACCCTATTTTTGTATATTCTTGACAATTTCCCCTCGGAAGGGGACTTTATTCTTATAATTTAAACTCCCACTACCCAAGGATGTTTTGTACTAAGTTTGGTCAAAATTGGCCTAATGGTTCTCAAGAATAAGCTGATAATGTGAAAAGTTTACAGATGAATGGACAGTCAGACGTTTGGACGACGGACAACAGGTGATCAGAAAATCTCATATGATCTAAAAACTGGAAGGCCTGCTATGTAAATCAAAGGAGAGAAAATATAAAAGAATTTAGATTTTGCATATTGTTATATTTATTTATAATCTAAAACACTAAAAAATAATAATGTTACAATGAGATCACTTTATCTTTTCTAGCAACTTTCAAACTAAAATTAGATATCATTGAGATGGTGGCCATCTCAAAGGGTCCCTAACTTTCAGCAATGAACATAAAAATGTAAAGTGGCTGAAAGGGGTTTTAACCTTGACTTTTGGCCTATAAACTTTGTTCAAGGTCACTACACATCCATTGACCAGTGGCACTCTGTGAGAGAAGTATTAGCCACATTGGACCAAGGGGAGAAAGCATATGCTCTGGACAAGGATTCACAATAAAAAAAAAATTACCTCCCTTTCTCTTAAGCTTAGATATTGAGACAAGCACTGATTTACCTCTCTTGATAAATTTGCTTAAAAATCCAATCTTTAACTTTTTTAAATTAAAAAATATAATATACAGATACAAAAAAATAAAACATTTAGAAAAAAATAACGTAGTATATGAAAAGTTGTACAATAATGTAGTAACACAACTTTGAGTGATCTGCTGTGGATGTCATATGATCATGAGTTATCCTTAATGTCAGTTATGTACTCAGCATGGTACACAGAATCCTGAGAATTAAGCTGTTTACTGTGTCCATCACTTTGTAGATATTAGTACATACTCAACTCTGTCCATTGGATTCTGTGAGTTAAGCTATTTAGTGTGTCCATCACTTTGTAGATAACAATGTACTCAGCACGGTCCATTGAATTCCATCAGTTAAGCTATTTAGTGTGTCCATCACTTTGTAGATATATATCAATGTTCTCAGCACGGTCCATTGAATTCTGTCAGTTAAGCTATTTAGTGTGCCCATCACTTTGTAGATATATAATAATGTACTCAGCACTATCCATTGAATTCTTTGAGTAATGAGTTATTTAGTGTGTCCAACACTTGCAGTCCAAACCTTAAATTACTCTCTGCACTATTGTTGAAGCATATTTGTCTGCTATCAAAGAAACATGAAATTGATGGCAGTCTGCCTGTAAAAAAAGAAATCACAAGGACTCAACATAAATATTAATAAAATCTTAATAAATGAAAAATAGCTAACATATTTTTACAGAATAGAAGGATTTTGCAGAGCTTGTACATGTGTCTTACCTTTATTTTCAAGTCCCATAGTTGATCTCTTTGGAGTCTTGAGGAATCATGTTGATCTGCTTTTGGAAACGGGATCAATGCCAGCATAACCGCCTGCCTATTAACAAAAAGACACTAAGAATCCAAGCAATGAGAGAGTCAAAATCTCCTCTAATTCACATAATGCAAGGTCTAGAGCTTTACATGCATCTGATCTGACTAACCATCAATGTTTAGGTTAGACAGTAGTAAGTCCTTACTTTCCACATTCTTGTTAACTGATTGAGATCAGTCTCATCTTCTACTTGTTAACAAAGGAAATCCAAAGATAATGAAAAAAACATGAACAGAAATACCTTGTGCCAAAATGTTCACCTGAGTCACCTTGACTTTGTCATCAAAAAAAAAATACTTAATTCATATTTTTTTACTAATCCTAGTCCAAAGGGATCATGATGTAACGTAATTTGAAACAACACATCCTCGGGATGCCCTATTGTTATTGCAACACAGTCTTGCTGTTGTGCAGCAGAAGTAAATCCCCATGGACCTATGATTTGATAAGTGTATAAAGAAAATTTGTAAATTGCAAAAAATAAATCTTTTTACCCACTCCTTAATCAGATATTGGCTGCTGTACAAAGCTTGGCAATTAAGACTCTTCTTTTTCTTCACTTGGTCAGCACTGGTCCTCTTCCCTTGTCAAATTCCTTGAAAATACTTGATGGAGAGAAGATAAGCAATAATACAAAGCAATGTAATAATCACAGAAATTCAAATGAACATAATCATTACAACATTATTAGCTTGAAAATCAAAAAGCAAATAAAGACAATAAGGTTATATAGCTAGGAATAAGGTGGAATATTGGGGCAAGGAGTCTAAGGAAAGCATAGTTACTTTAGAGTAGGGAGGACAAAGATATGTCAGAAATAATTACATAAAAAATACTTGTAAGACTCCTGCCTGTTAAAGTGGGTCATGATGAAGTTCCATAGGTGAAAAAGAAGTAAAGTCTGATTCTTACGAGTATTCTCCTCATGGCTGCAGTGGAATGGGAAAGGGACTCTTCCTCACTTAGAATTCCTGGTCAGTCTTAACTTTCTTCTGCTTAAAAAGATAAAACAGAGACATAAAAGAGGAAACACTTGCACTTCATACCAAGTGAGAAGCTTCAGTAAAAAGCAGCTTGTTGCTTACCACTTTTGAAACATAATACCTGCAAAACACAGACAGGAATAGACTCTTCTTATATTAATGACCTTGGTCCTCCATTGTTGTTCCTCTTCTGAATCAAAGGGGAACTGAAATCTATCAATTGAAGGTCCAGATGTTAAAGCTTGGTACAGCCAACATCAATAGGCAAGCAAAGATACAATAAGTAAAATCTGAATCTTACCCTGCTTTCTGCTGCTGTATGCAGTTCAATGAGAGAGGGAGTCCTCACTTCAGGATCCTGTTCAGCCTTAAAAGTATTCCTCTTAAAAAGATAAAAATTAACAGACACCAAATGGGGATCACTTGCACTTCATACCAAGTGAGAAGATTTCTAAAATAAACTAGTGGCCAATGGGCAATATACTCACCTAAGCATATTGGCTAGTAAATGACAATTTAGTCCAGTACTGAAAAGTATAAAATTTAGGAAGAGGAGAAGGGGGCTTAAATAACTACCTGGAGACATTTTCATATCAATAACAATGGCTTAGCTGTTCTGGCATGAACATAAAATTTTTTCCTATATATTCCTTTGTTAAAATTTTATCCCCATTGATGCCCCTCCCTGCCCCCTGGAATCAAGATTTGGACAAATTTGAATCTACACTACCTAAGGATGCTTCCATATCAATATGACTATATATGGCTTTGGTATTATTGAGAAGATGTTTCCTATATACTGTAAATCACTTAATTTTCGCGTCACCTTATTTAATTTATTTAATAGTCAATGACTCTTCATTAGCGATACAAAATTTTCAAAATGGTGGTCATTGCTCTATATTTGCATATCCACTGCTCTCTCCCACCATGAACATTTAGCCATCAAATGCGTTTATAGGACTATAGACGCAACTGCTTCCACTATGACTGCAAGTGCTCTATCTCACTCGTGTAGAACAAGCTCCACTACAAAAAATTACTTGTTGAGAAGTATATATATGAAATGTTTCGTAAAAGGACTAAATATAAGTTTTTTAATAATATTTTTTGGAAAAAAAGGAATTCAGAACAATTTGAAATTGCCGATTGATATCTTTAAAAATTTGATTTTGGTCAAAGTATTTAATTGTAAAATAAAACTTATAAAAAATTGAATAGAACTCCATATTTTTATTTTTTCGTATCATGCATACTTGTACAAAGAACGATAACTCTTCAAACTTGGGTAATAACATTCAAAAAGAGAAAATTTCTTTAACTAGTAGATCTATATCTATTTCAAGAAAAAATAAATAGAAAAAGTACCCAAAAAATCACAGAAAAGCATAATGGAGTAATAATCATAATAAAAGCATTCTCATTTTTGTCATAGTGTTAAATTATTGATTTTTGTCAGAGGATTTCAATAACGTTGATCGATGACGTCACGACTGCATCAAAACAAAAATTAAGAGAATGTGATGACGGCGCTGCTTGTATCCAGATAACTGTGTTTGAGAGGGAAATACTAGCTAGCGCGCATCATGGAATATGCCAGCAGAGCAATTGCTATTCATAACGCCATGTTCACTAAATAACGTTGTTTATTTCTTAAATATAATCTTAAGGAATTATATTATACGCGAAAATGAAATTTTCGCGACCATACTGTCACGCGTAATATTAATGTGAAAAATAAAGTTCTCACGAATAAAAAGT